GTTTTGGAATCAGTGTTTTATGCGCTTTAATATGGTATACATCTCATTTGGAAAGGCCACTTCGACCAAACAAGCTCCCCTTGTAAGATAAGAATGAAACAAAGACAAAGCAATACAAAGTTCATTAATTTCCTCAAAGCTGACAAAATTATGAAACTTGAAGATACGCAAACAGAGAAATGATTTTTCCGAAAATCATCTCAAATCAAATTTTCGCAGGCAGCATAAACAGGAAAACAGAGCTTTGCAATTGATTTACATACTGCTTCAAATTTCTCAAAACTGGTAATTTACCATTCAATTGACTCGTAGAATCTTCTTGAAAGGCTTGGAAGTTGAATTATTCCGACTCATTGCACTTTTGAATGCGGGGCAATAAAGGATGTGAGATTTCCAATATGGAAATTTGGGTGGATGAGAGTAAGTGCATAATTACAATTTCTAAAACCAATGATAGGTTTTGAGAAATCAGTAAAAGTTATTCCACTACTTTTGTTTATATCCTGCTAATGCATTCTCAAAGATTATAGGTAGTGTTCTAAACTTGGGTCAATCATTTTTAATTTTTTTTGTTTTCAGCTTTTCAATGGATTTTACATGCATTTGTTGTTTATAAAAATCAGACTTGCGTAGATCATGGATTTGCAACATTTTCTTCACCAATAATGCGTCGCGACGAGAAAATCTGTCGCAAACCGTTTTCTAAGGGATTTTGGGCGGTATTGTTGTTGTTCATAGTTCATCCATTTATGATAAACGATTTGTACGTAAGCAGCTTCGTATTCTTTGCCATAGCTTTCGTATTCGCCTGAAAAAAAGCTTGTTAGCAAAGCCTAATTGCAGAAATTCTGCAACAAAAACGGAAAAATGGCTACAATCGAATTTGTACTAGACAGCTGCACTTCTTTTCTCGGTCTTGCAGCCTTACACAATTTCTTTGTAGCCCTAAGAACAGCAGCACTTTTTCCCCTCCAAGGACCATAATGCTTCCTGCTTCTTTTCAATTCCGAATCCACTAACGTATGGCAGCTAACCCTATCTGTAGCTATGGAGATAATTTGTTGTGGCCGTTGCGCGGGGTTTATTGAATATAATGTTCTAATGGTACTATTTTTGGCAGAAAATTGGCATAGAGACAATTCAAAAGATTTTTTTCTGATTTGTTGATGTACCTGATTCCGAGCTACACATAATAAAAAGCTTTGGATTTGTCAGGGCCGGTTGATTATCGTTCAGTAATTGGTGGAACAACGGGAACACGACAGGTGACTAAACGCTGTCAAGACAGGGGGCTCATTGTCGGGACTACAAATTGTAGCCTCTATAATGGGTTGAGCACAAAAGCGGAAATACGAACGAGTGCTGAATCAGTTTTCCTTTTAGGTGCCGCCAATACTAGTTAAGGAACATCCCCGATTTTGTTCGAAAAAAGACATTTTCAAACGGATTTCTAAGGATAATCTATAGGTTCTCACCTAAAACAAGATTGCCTTGTGACAAAAGTAAAAAGTAATGTTAGCATGCTTTTCATAGGAGGATCCTAAACTTCCAGGTTCCCAATTATCAAAAAAAAAATTGGGAAGAAGAACAACAACATTAAAGATTGCCCCTCACTTTACCTCCTTTAAAGATATTGAACTATGGATAACTAATTACTAGTCAAATCATGAATTCAATGATGATCAATGAAGAAATAAATGATAAAATGGCGATGATTAATAAAATGATTGATAAATAATTGAACAAATAAATGATAATGGATTGATGATAAATAATTATATAATGAACTGGTCATATTCGGGTATCTATATCTTTTTTCGTACAGTTTTTTATCATTGAATTCTTTATACTTGAATGGAGAACCATCACTCAGGCTGAACTGATAGCAAACTATAATTGTTAAATTCACTTTCCTCGAGGGGTACCCTCCAATGTACTCAAAGTGATATGAACTATGGTTTAGGTTTGATTTTGAAGTTTTTAGGTGTTCAACTCTTTCGTACAACGCAAAGATTACCTATAAAGAGTTAAAGGAGTCATTCCTAGAACGCAAAGATGATTCAAAATTTTGAGAAAGCAATGATTCATTCCTCGAACTTTTGAACCTTTTTACATTGGTATGCGTTTCGAACATTAGTTGAATCTGTATATTCATAGAAATGTGTAATGTGTTCAAATCATCAGGGCTTATCTCGCAGAGCCTAATTGAAAGGCTTAGCTGCTTTACATAAGTTTCGCACAACTTTTCTTTTCACATTATTCCCATTGATGCGAGTTGTACACTTTGCTCTCCTATTAACAGAGGTTTTTCGGAACTTTTCATGAGATAATTCCCTAAGAGCTGGTGTCTGCTAGTTTTTGGCTATTTGTGAAAGTACTATAAAATTGTTTGAAATTATTTTCTAGCAAGTAAAACTGGGCGAGAGAGAGTGTTTATCCCGAGTATTGTATGCGATGGGCGGGGTGAAGAGACGGCACCACCACGCTCTCTCTCTCCTCGCACTCCCCCTCCAAACACCATAAGCATACATACAACCGCTTACCGCTGTCTACTAATTAAATCCTTTCGACTATTTAGCCCCTTTATACCAGCGAAATGATGCTACTACTTATTCTGCTACTGCTAAGCACCAATCTCTATTCAGTTACTTCGAAAAGTTTGTTTATTTGATTTTTCTCCCATGACTTCCTTGCACTTCTCTCTCAAGATTTCGGCCTAACAGCAACAAGTCCAGATGAAGTTAGGCAGCTAAGGAAATTTCGTTGTCCCCTAGTCCAGAAATTGACTTATGCATTCCGACATTATTTCTCTCCACTTGCGCTTTTCAATTCCTTTTCTTTCTTCTAAGAAAGAAAAAGACAAAGCCCTCATGAGCAGTTCCTTGTCCCTTGAATGAGTGGAAATGCGGCTTCCGCAACCAGCCGCTTCTGGGATGAAAAATCCCATTCTTGATGGGGCAGAGAAGATAAATATGTTTCAGCACACACATCAGATGTCCGTAATTTGGTAGTGAAATTGGGAATGGACTTGTTGGCTGAGAATTCTCGAGGGGACCAGAGCGTCGTTCACTAATAGCCCAGGCTTTTTAGGGGGCCGTACTTCTGCATTTGTGTGTGTTGAAAGAGTAGAGTCGATATCACTCAAATTTCGCAAAAGCTGTTGAGTGAAATGATTTGCATTTTGCAGGGGATGGGAGAGAAGGATAAAAAAAATTTGGCAAAAAAAATTTCCAAGTTTTGGAGCGAGGGAAGCCGTGTATTACTAGTAAGATGCTCCCTCTCTCTATGGGCCCCAACGTGCTGGTTCAAAAGCCCCAATCTGTTTGCCCATCTCTGTACATCGCCGCTCTATCCATTGTCTCAACATGTGTAAGCAGCTCCTATAGCATCCTACGACGTATTTCCTATGGGAACAAGCAAACCCTCTCAACTCTCGATTTCCTTGGCTGCAAATAGTAGAATCGAAAAAAAGCCCATACGCAATTGAAGTCCTCTAAGCGCACATGCTCTCTCTCGAAAATAATTTATAGCCGCTCAATGGCGTGAGTAGATCGGGGCGAAAATCGCTCATTACTCTTGAGGCTCTTAGCTCAAAATGTGATGTCGAAGATTAAAAGCTGCACTAGGCAGATTCTGTGCAGGATTTCATTACGTAGTAGTCTGACCAGAATATGTGCCATTAAAGGCTCTTGTCTGTGAAAAACTCTCTCGCTTTTGTGTCGTCGTTCATGCTCAATAGCACGCTCCAACAAACCACAGCAACAATCAGTGCCATTGTCGGGTGTCGTTTTAGGCTCTCTACTGCAGCTTAGCAATGTTTTGCTAGTCATCCTAGTCATCCACGGGGGTGGGGAGAGGGGGGGGGGGGGTTGCGATGTTCCAGCTGTCCTCACATAGCGGGGTTCGGGTGCTAGGAGCCTGGTTAACTATAACGATCACTGGCCCCTGATGCTTGGCGCATATTTTGCGAGCATTGCGTGACTCGATTAGCTGGATGAACAGCCGATTTCTGAGTCTATTAAGCGTTGCCTGGTTTCGGCCCCAGCTCTGCTTCTCACATAAGAGAGCCGAACCTCGAAATAGGTGAGAGAGGAGGACATTTTCGAGGAGGAGTGGGTCGTTCGTCGCGTGATATGAGGCGACGCCGGCCAGATTCAAGGCTCTAGTAATATGCAAATTCTGGGCCGGCTCTTGCGAATGTAGGCTGTATTGACTGCAAGACGAACATAAATCTGTCCCAGTCAATGAATGGGCTTGCTTAGCTTCATAAGTCATACGTCCACGCTGAATTAGGACCTTTACGAATGAGCAGGAACTGTCAAATTAGAGAAAATTGAACAAAATCTGAGGAAAAAGAGGCGTGCGCCAGAAGCGTACTGTACTTTTGCGCTATCCATATGCCGAGCATATAATCGTTGTTTTTGGAGCAATATGTTCATCGCTGGATTGATATTAGTGTCGAAAAGTAAGAATTAAGATCTACTGAGCTCTGAGCCTTATTCTTTCAGATTTCTCGAATATCTTCATAGCGCAACTATAAAATTTGTGAAAGAATGTGGCTGCCCCTTGTCATCGTCTGTGTTGGCTGTCTTCTACAAAAAATACCTGATTTGCCAAAAGGTGACAAGTTAGCACAACATACTCCCCCCTCCCCCCCCCCCCCCCCCCCCAGCTAGGTCTACAAACAAACAACGTTCGATGCACCAACCATCTGTAGATGAATTGCGCAAGGGCTTATAATCACGGCCCCCCATATGCATCAAATCTGGTGAGCGGGGGATTCCCCTTCTATGTCATCACAGTGGGGCGTCAAATTGCGAATGTGTCGTGTCAGCTCCATTAGGCGTTTTGTACTCTTTTTCAGATTCTGGTAAACACATGTGCTTTGCTTGTGAGGTTTCATGTTCATCTTTTTCATGCTTTCCCCCTCCCCCTCCTCCCCCATTTCCCCGGCTTCTACACCTCCCCAACTTTATGCAAATTCTATGGATCGGTTTCGGATGACACACGACCGACCCAACAGAGCAAAAGGAGTCAAGTGTGCTGTGCGAAAGCAGCAAATACGAAGAAGCATCACAGAGCCGTTCTCAAACATCGGTTAGAGAGCCGTGCGCAGTCCCAGCAGAGGTGAGAAGTCAAGAGCACTCACTGCATCGCTACCCCCTGCGCGGTTTGCCAAACACTCGCGCGCGGCATCCGGACAGCGACGGCGCGGCTTCTGCAGCCGGCGCGCGAACAACAGAACAAAGATGTCCCGCCTTATTGGCAGCAAATCCGCTTTGTGTTGTTCTAATTGGCTGCGAATCCGGCACAGACTGTTAAATCTCGTCGAGTACTCGTCGACAAAAACCCTTAATTATCGTGACTTCATCTCCGGCAGTTCCGCCTCGTTTGCAAAGCTCTGCCGGAGCTCCGCGCAAGCCCGTCTGTGCATTAGTCGGGGTTCGAGAATTGAGAATGCGCGCAACATCATTATCAATTTCATATCGCATATCCGGCGTGGGAGGATTCCAACATTCGACCAGTTAGCGAACCCATTTTCCCATACTGGCAGTATGAATGAACTGGCCCCGAATAATTACGAGATCGTCGTCGTCAGGGGGGTCTTGAGCCGGTCCACACAAAGCGCAAATCCTTGGCGAACTAGCACTTTTCTCTTACGGCTCAGCGTGTTTTCGGAACGGATCATAGCAGAAGGGGCTTGACATCATCTGGACGGGTTGTATAGCAGTCATGCAAATATTGACAGAGATATGTAACATAATAGCAAAAGAGCTGATTTCCACGATGCCATTTCAGGTCACCCGGATTATGCTTATGACGATCGAAATTCTTACGAGGGCGATGGCAACCCGATCAAGGTGGCATCAAAACATCTAGATCCTGAAAATACATTGATATTGCGGCAAGGTACAGTCTAATATAAATATCTTCATTAAAAATGTATAGCTTACGTTTTTCAAACCAAGCAAAATCTGTCATATGATATGGGCCTCCAAAAGCAATATGGCTTCAGCTAAGCGGTTCAAAAAATGTTTTTTAGGAAAACCGCTCATGGTTGAATGTGTCTATGCAAGGGATGATATTGCAGACATTTCTGATCTACAATGGCATAAAATTGGTGCTAGGATTATTGATGGAAGCAGTAGCTCAAGGTAAATATGTTGGTATTTTATATAAACATCCTGGTGGTACAATTGCAAGGAAGTCATGATTTCTTGACTAAGACAGAAGATAATTTTGTTTTCATTCATTCAGCTGTAGTATACACTCAGAAAGCACCACGAAAGAAAAGAAAAATGAACAAGCTCAAATCAGCTCTTTCTAATTTCTGGGATGGATGTGAAGGACTTTTCTGTTGTCATAAACAATATTTTCTCTATTTTTTCGAGATAAAGTTGTGTCTAATGCAAAAACTAGAAATTTCGTGATTTCCAATAAATGTTTGGTAGTCATTGAGATATTGCCTGATTTTCTACATAACGACAGATTTGGAGCCTTAATTCTTTACCGGTTACGTAAAGGGTAGATATACATCCCGTTTAGAAGAAAAAACGGATATCACATTTACTCCTCCAAAATTTTAGTTTGGAACATTGGTCTTACACCCGTTTCTAAAATTTTCATCTAAGCTTAGGGAATTGTCGGTGTCTGTAATTTTTTCGTTATTTTATTGTATATCAACGAAGGAGAAAGAGTACGAAGGATATATTGTGTGATATATCAATTTCTGAAGAAACTCAAAGATAAAACTTTGGTGCAGGACATATATTCCACCCTAGTAACATAAAACAAGATCTAAATTTTCTCTAGCCTACATTCTTCTCAACTCATTTTCTTCTAATTTAAAGTGACCATATTTTTTTGGAACTTGAACTGTATACAATCACAGCATAGCTTTACCAAAAGCCTATTGTTTATCCAGGTGGCCTAATAAGCCATTCAACTAGCTCTTTTTTTCGGTCGATAGCACTGATACACGTATCGGATCCGGATGTTTGCATAGGCTTGTATTTCCGTCCCCTCGGCTTCCATTTTAGTCTCGGAGCGTGGAAGCTGACGCGAGTGATCTATCAATTAAGTCGTTCAAGAGTCAAATTCCAGTATATTCACCACTGGACTCTTGGAACATGGGACGCGTTATAAAAAGAAAAATCTCCACTTTACGTCCATACACAAACGCGATGAGGGCACATACGAGTGTCGGGCAAGAAGTCTTGGAGGACAGACCTATTCAAGAGCTGTGAAAGTAGTGGTTTTAAGTGAGTCATGGGGGTTTAGAACTGTGAATTTTTCGCCACATTCCCGTGTAAGACTCAAAAATTAGATGATATACGATGGAATGATGAATCGCATTCTGCTGGAGCTCTTCTTGGCGAACCACTTACCATCGACTGTGGAGTGAATGGGGATGATGAAGAGCATCAAATCACAATTACCGATAGCGAAGGGGAAACCTTGGATCGTAAGTTTTTGAAGTCTCACTTCAAATCGTCGTGTCATTTGTAATTCAGTGTGCGTATTGCACAACATGCACGCCAATTGACGACTTGTGAAATTGAAACCTGATCTTTTCAGTGATTTTTTCATGTTTCGCTCGTCTCTTTTGATCTGTTGGATATAAATTAGCTAGTAGTACACATTTCTACAATTTGCTACGTTAGAAAAGCTTCTACTGAAGTTAGTGATATGGATGTCGTAGATCGCCGCGCATAGTGTGCAAACTCACATATTAAGCTTCAAATGAACCGATGATAGCTTTCTGTTGACTTGAATATCCTTATTCCATACCATTTTTTCAAAAACCCGTTTTGCAAGTACTACTCACTTTTTTTGCTTGAAAATAATCGAACAACAATCGCCTCTTTTGCTTCTTCGTAGTCGTTCTTATAAATGATTCATTTTCTCATCCCATTAGGGTAGGTATGTGGTTGCCAAAAAAACTGACAGCCACGAATTTTTTTGTTCGGTAGTAGTAAGCCAAAGGAGGAAGAAAAAAGTAGTAGAACAAGGTACGATTGATTAGCATGTGAAGTATAGTAGAGTAATTATAACAATGACGTACTAAGGAGAAACTTCCCCCAAGTTTGCCTTTTATAGCAGAAAAATTGCCAGTACTCTATCCTCTACAGAGTAAAATACACTTATTAGTTTAGGCAAAGGCAAAATGAAGCTTTGTAAATGACAGCTTGAAATGATGCCTCATTCTTGAACACAAGTTATTTGGTGCAATTGCACACAGTGCCATTCTAATTAAACGCTATAGTCACTGAGGGATTCCTATTAAAAACATTCAAGAAGTAGTGTTAATTCTATTAGGTAAAAACGTTTATAGATTTCCAAAACATCCTTGGTTCAGATTCACCTCTTTTCCTTTCAAACTCAGTTTCATCTTTTCTCCTTTTTTAGCAAGCATGTACACAATCGCTGGCAAGGAAGTGACCGTGGAGCGTCTTACCAAAGACTACGATGGAAAGGTCTGCCAAATTCTGAAAAAAATCTGTACGACACCATTCATTGTGCAAAAACTCGTCGTTTACAGAAGATCAGCTGTGTTCATATCGAATCCTATGGCAAAGATGAACTTCCAATCATTGACAGGCGTGAAGTGAACATCGACGTATGGTGTGAGTAAGAATGTGCATGTAAAGGCTATTTATCATTCTCGTACATCGATAAGGATCTCCATAGTAGATTTATGACCCTCTGGAAGACCTAGAATGCAACATGTCGGGCTCTGTCCAGAGGTCTAAACGGAACTGCTTTTTTGAACTGGGGGACTTGAATAGCTGGGAAAGTGGATTCTCTTTAAAAAAAAGTTGTGAGACCCTGTCCAGAACTGTAGCGACCGTCTTCCATGAATTCTTTTTTCCCAAGCTCATATTCAGGAATAGGTTTAAAAAATTCCTGGAAAGGGACAGTAAAAAATTTTCAAAAACTTTCTCCTATACATGAAGTGTGAGCGTTTCAGTTCAGTTGAAGATTCCGCATTTCTTTTCTACGAAAAAGTTCCCTTTCGCTGACTTTATTCATTCTTTAGTTATTTGCTCTTTGACTGAGTGATGGGAAAACATCAAAATGTTTTTGTGCATTTGTAGATTCCCTAATGTTCTGACATCAAAAATTTGGAAAAAATTTATCATATCTTATCTTAATTATTGTCTACTAAATATCACTCATTGTGTAATTCAGATACGATAAGGACAAAATAGACTTTTTCAGCTTCACTAAGTAACAATTCTATTCTAAAAAGCAAAGCTTGTAAATATGAAGATATTCAAAAACTGTAGCGTCGGAATGAGTTTGTAAAACCTGTGCTAAGTAAATAAGCTCCAACTTCATATTTTATTGATTTTATGATACAGTTCTATTTTTAAGCAGTTTAAAATTTGAAAATCCTGTTAAATACTCTATATCCTGTACTTAAATTTTTGCCACTTATAAGAGTCAAGCCTGGAAAATGCAGTTGTTTTTCTAAAAGTTTTTCTGCTATTTCTTTCGTTACCCAGTGAACAAATAGGAGGATAAGTATTTGTTCTTACTCGCAGCCAAAAAAAGGCATTGCTTCGTTTCGTACATAATTGATTTTCGTATAATAATACGAATCTTCTATTTTTAGACAAGCCTGAATTTGAAAAAGCGTCTGCTGATCAATATACTATAGTGGATGAGAAGTCTCGAGAGGTGAGTTGCGAATATAATGAACTTAGCAAAAAATTGAAAGGCTTTTTAAGGCCAGCTATACAATGACTTCTTTATTCTTATGTAACCTTTTTGATTCTCAATCATCTCCAGGTGGAACTACTCTGCGCTGTCTCAGCTTCAAACCCACCACCAATTCTTTTTACATTTTATCGTGGAGGAAATGAACTAACTGATCCTTCGAAGTACAATGTGACCGTTGACAACGATCATAAATGGGCTAAATTGAGGGTGAGTTACATTGGATTCAACAGATTCACTGCTGCGCTCTCCAACTTTTTGTTAGAGCCATTAAAGGCCGTTTCGGTGAATACAAACCAGCTAATGTGAGGGGAAATCGAGAACGTTGATTGCTTTGACGAAAATGTGCAATAGGAAAACCTTTTCATTCAAAAAAAAATACCAGAGGGTTAATCTAAAAGAGTATAGGGTAACGTACACAGTTCTGCTTTTGAATATTCTTAGAAAACGGATTGCGACGGTTTTTTCGGTCGCGACGTGTTTATCTTGACAAACAGCCGAAATATTTAACTTCTCTAAATTCCTGAAAGAAAAGGAGCTCTAATTAAGTACTAGTAGTTAAAGTTACATCAAATTTAAGTTTTTGGAAATATTTTTGCATACTGTGTTGCGACGTTATTTATGCTACCCGTCTCTGTGCCACAATTTTTTTCAACTCTTCGTCATATTTGATAAATCTGTAACTATGTACATACTTATCTAGATGAAGCACGAAAAACTCTAGATCCGTTGCTTCCAGGGCGAGAAGAAAGTTCAACCCATATGTTTAATCTGTAAAAATGTGAAACTTCCAGATTTTTGACGTGGACGAGGACGACTTGAGTGAATATCGCTGCGAAGTTAATAATGGAAAAGCTAAAAACACAATGACCATCCATTTGAAGGAAACTAGTGAGATATCCTTTGACATAGAAGTTCAGAAAATCAAATGATCTCTTCAGACCCACCATCCGAACCTAAAGTCACATTATACAACGTTAAGAAACATGCAATCACATGGAAGATTGAAAATAAAGAGGTTTGCATACATGGCAGAATTGAAATCCTTGGCTAGTTATCTGCAAATTTATTCAGGAAGAAGGAGAACTTCCAATCAAAGATATAGAAATCGATTATCTAAGAAAAGCTTTGGTGGATGAAAAATTAGAGGTAAATTCAGCTACCCAAAGTAAGTACTTGATCAAATTGACGAATATCAATTTCAGGAAGACTCGGATAGCATTAGCGATAGTTTCTGGAATGAACATGGTGTGAAACATAAAAGAAACAAAAGTGAGGATTGCTCGTAATCGATTTGATCTACTTAACGAGTTTATGAGTTCTAGGTGTGTCTGGTCTTTACGAAATCGGTGGACTTCTGCAGGCTTCAGAATATGTTTTCAAAATTCGACAGTTTAGTGAAGCGGGTGAAGGTGAGTGTATTTGTTGAGAATTCTAGTTAATTAAATCAATTAAGAAGTCTAAAAAGCACAAGTTTATTCAGAAAGAATTTCAAGAATTTCTGAATTAATTTAACTTATACTAATCCAAAAACACGACTTTAAGCCTAACGCAGAAAAAATTTGTCTGAAATATATTCCTCTGCCAAAGTCAAGTCTTCACTTTTGGAAAAGAGTTCTGAGTATGCGTACAAGAAACCTTGGTTTTCCTTGATCTATGCTTTTTTACAATTGCTGCTAATTCAGTACTCCATATGTAGGTTTTTTCTCAAACCCATGGGGATTAACCATCATCCAAACGTAAACGACGTCCTCTCTCAATCAGATAGTAGAGTTTCCCAAACAGCTGTCAAGCTAATCTGACGATCACAAATATTGTTGAAAAATCTTCAAAATAAAAACATAACGTCCGTTTTAAATCTCATCTTATCTGTGAAAAAAAAAGCTTTCAATACATATTTCACATCCAAACTATTAGTTATTCTCGTCTTGGATGTTTGCTAAACTATTGACGTAATTTTTTTTACTGAATTATGAGCATTCAAAGGTTATAGTATTAAATCCTTTTTTGAAGACATCGGCAGTGTTTGCATATTTTGCAATTCGGTTTTGTTTTGAAAATGACGTTATAGAAGTTAAGATAAACAGCAAAGAGCAGAAGAGCTCAGCTCCCAAATGGAAAATCTTCCGTTGAATGTAGGGATTTGAGACCGTGAATAATACATACCTAGGAACTGCACTGAACTTCCTGGATTTTTGAGAGTAAATTGTATGTACGTAATTGCACACATTACACATGATGCCCAACTACGCGTGAAACTGTGTGTAACATCTGCGTGTAAAATCCAGTATTACCGGCAAATAATCTAGTGCTTTTGCATTGCTGAGAAACTTGCGCGTAGAAGAAGGCCATGGAGTGCAACTTGGAAGTATGCGCTCAATAGTCATTTTTTACGCGCAAGTGTTGTCAACACAGTAGGTGCACAATACTGCCAATTAAATCTGCCAAAGAGGCAAATAATGACAAAAAAATGTATATCATCGATTTCAGGTCCCGCTGTCATCCTTCGAGCTACCACAGAAGAAGATGCAACTTTTAAACAGGAGCTTACCTCGTCTCAAAGCTCGTCAAGCTTCTTAACAACGACAACTCTGCTCCTTACCTTACTCTACCAACTCCATCACTAGCCAGCTCCATTTCTCTCACGAATATAGCTTCTCAGGACGAATATCCTCGAACATTTGTCTTTGTGCCATTCCAATTATTTCTGCAGTTGTTGTTGAATGTATTACGGTTGTAAATACTGACATTGTCAGTAAAAATTCAGTTTAAAGTATTTTTATTTTACTAAATTTATTCAGTCAATATGTGCTGCTCATTTTCTCTTTTACTTAGTGATCTTCAATGTCGTTTGATGGTTCGATTGCATTTGTTTCACTTTATCAAAATAATGTATATTGTGCAATAAGTGATGCTTGGTAAGCATCTAATAAACTATATCTATCTTGAAAAGTTCTGAGTGAAGGGGAGAGTACATGTTAGGATTTTTAAATTCTAAAAGTGGGGGATTTCAAATGGAAGTCAACCGAAGATTCTAGAATTAGCAATTTCCCTCTTCAAGGAAACGAAGAGCACTTCAACAAACAGTTCATATATTTCATTATGTCTACTGTCATGTTTATTCAGCTGAACAAAAGAAGTCAAACAAAAGACAAAAAGAAACAGTCACAACAGGGTGAAGCCAACGTAGAGACGAAGAAAAAAAGAACACTGACGAAAATAACAAATAATTATCACTTTAACAAAATGTACATGTTCAGTTATAAAATTCTTTTCCGTAAGTAATGACACGGAGATCTTCTTCACGTTGATTTTTGAAATTCGCGTTTTTTTTGCCATTGGAAAAATGTTAACACACGTAGCGAAACAGCTGTTAAAAGCGTATAAAACGATAATTGCTTACCTCATAGCAGTAAAACTCTCATGACGTCAAATCTATTCACACTCCTCAACAAAGACATTTAAAGCCCGAAAAGACTTGCTGATGTGAGAATGAGGGGGCTCTTCTCACACTAGAAGTTGTTGACTTGACGCTACACAAGTGCTCAGAATAAACATCGAAGCTTCTGTACGATCAGCTTCGGAACGCAGTTTTTTCAGGCAAAATCAATCGATTTGCAAGTTGAATAGAAGTCTTTAGATCTGAATGGATTAGGCGCGAAATAAAGAAATACGAGATTACAAAGACGGCAAAGAAAACGATTTCTATGTGGTTTTTTGACGTCGACAACAAATTGGGGTTGCTAGACAGGTTGCTGAGAGAAGTCGTTATTGTGTTTGACGATACTCCGCTCTCCATGTCCTCTGGAACAGCAATCGCTTTCGTTCGGAATGTTCTACTCTATTTCTTATGACTATTCGCAAAACAACTCGTAAAAATTGTAATTGTAAAGCATTTTTCGATCGAGTCATTTTGGTGACTATATTATTAGGTTGATGCATAATTGTTGCACCAAATTTTTTGAAATTCTGTTGCTTCATCCACCTTCAATGAAATCTTTTGTTTCTCAAATGGAGAGACAGAGAAAGTTTGTGCTTTCGGGATGACTTGATCAAAAATCAATTTTGGTGTATGACAACTGAGCTGATTAAAATACCCAAAAAGTGATTTTCTGCATTTTCGCTAAAAATGTTAAAACGTCTGCTGAAGTCGAAATGTGTTTCTCTTTGTTTTATGGTATACATTTTTAACTCAAGGAAGTAGATAATGATCTGAATTCTCTACGATGAATTCCAAATTTTGAAAAAAATTCCTCGAGGGCATATGGCAATGATATAAGGTATCCAAAATATCCAATATCCAAAAAGTGATTTTTCGGTTTTTGTCAAAAATTGCTGGAACGTTTACTAAACTTCAACAACTTTATTTTCGATCTTAGTTCTATACATGCTCTTTTCAAGAAAGAGAAGCTGGGAGTGATTGGATGTCTCTGCGAATAGTTATGAATTTCGATTTTTTCAAAATTGACTTATCGATTTTGTTTCTTACTGGCTTTCCAAACTGTACTATAAAGTACTACTTTTGATATACATAACAATAAGAATATTATGTAGATTGATTAATCTGTTTAAGCACTTTCAAACAATTTTTTCTATTTTTGGTGCAAGAATTGTGCACCATTCTAATAATTACTATTCACTAATTTTCCTCGCTACTTCTTGTTAGAATGGTGGATGTTTAAATATCCCATATTCTTCATTCTTAGAATCCAATGAAGGAAAATCGTCGTATGTCAATGTCCGTTTCATCACTTCTCACAGACAATGCTTTGATTTGTATACCTTGTCCGGGGCCCTCAAGAAGCTAGAAAAGGTCTATAAGGATTTGCGAAAAGGTCTATAATGATTTGCACATAAAACTTTAGACGAGAAGCTGTATATCGTATTTTTCAATTATCCTCTTCCGGTGGAGGTTTTCTGTGTTTCAAATCAAAATTGAATTCATTTTCCACGTTGAAATGAACTTGAAATTGAATTTGTCCTAACATTTCTGTTTCTATTGTGGTACTAATAATGACAAAATCATCTTTGATGGTTGAATCCTACATTTCGTTTGTTCGTCCTCGAAAATGAAAGTTTTTACACTTTTATTTTGACTTTTGTTTTAAAAAGTTTGTTAAATTTGTAGTGATTATATTCTATTTGAATATGTAGTATGGACGGATTCTATTCCATCATTTAAATGACTTGGATTTTGCTATTCTTGTATGCTTAAAACGATGTAGACGCAGGAATCAGAACATCCCTTCACTTTGAAATGTTTTAGTTTTCGCAAATGAACACTCGAGACTTTCAGACAAATCTCTCGACATGCGTTTTCTATATTTGAGACTCCCCCGCTCATTTCCGTTCTCTTCTGAACGTTATGGGCTCAAATCATTCCTTTATTTTCTCACGATTGATTCAACCGTAACACTTTCTGACTTTCATCACTTTTTTCATTTGGCAGAGGCTTTATGCCCTTGGTCCACTTCTTTTTATCACTTTGCAGCTGGCGGATCGCGTAACGTTCCGGAAGAATAAAAAGCTCAAGCTTTTCCTTAGCGCTTTTACGGAAGGAAAAGTGCAGGGAATCTTGACAAGAAGCCTCATTGATATGACAGATATGGAAGGTTTTTTGCAAATCAAACTGCGGATGTGGAAACAGCTTTTCCGAGAATTTGCACTGATGTAACCAAAGGATTAAGAAAGCAAATAAGGCTGATTCAAGTTTGTTCTAAATCTCCTTTACTATGAGCCTTGCCTTTTTTTTAAGTTTATAAAGACTTGAAGCGATCCGACCTAGTCTTTAGTTGCTGTCCTACTTTAGCTTTCAGCGCGTAAAAGTTCAAAGAATGTAGATTTTATCTAACACCGAAAAATTCTAAGAATTCTCAATTCTAGAAAACCTTTGGATTCAACGAGTCCGTTTGATTAAGCCCTGACCAAACCAATTTACTTGCTTTTATTTTATCTTGAAAGAGTAGATCATGCTCTTCAGAAGTATCTAAACGACTTTCTAATGAGCATAGTTGCGTAGAATAGAATTGGTAGATAAAAATTACTCAAATTCTGATGTTTCTGAGTTTATTCGTGGAAAATCTGAAAATTGCGCAAAAAATCGCAGGAGTCGGTATCATAGTTTTTATTACTCAGCCCTTGTAACTGAGTTAAGTTTATAGGGAATGAAAAGTTTCATGAAAAGTTATGATTTCCGAGAAAAAAGCTAACTTTGCCTAGTTAGATAGGGCAGGTGACAAAACCTATGATACCACTTCTCCAAATTTTTGTTGCAAATTTCAAGAATTTATTACAACCAAAACCGGGAAAAAAAGATGAGTAAATGGGTAAAGCCGTAGTACATCTACGGCTTCTATCTATGCATGATTTATCTTTCAAACAAAAATAAAAGCAAGCAAATAAATTGGAAAAATCAGAAGTTATGAATTTTTGAAAGTGGTCTGACAGAACTTTTGTTCAAACCTATACAAAGAAGTGTAATGCAAGCTTAAATGCTTTTTAAGCACTTTTGAATGCTGCGTGCAAGAGGTATACTCCAATCTATTAGGTCGATGCATAATTCCTGCACCAAAATAGGTACAGACCGCAATAACTCGGAATAATGCTATATCCCAAGTATGATTCGATATATCATTAGATAGAGCAAACCTAGCTCTACAAGAATTGCCTAAAGTTTTGCAGCAGCTTTGATCCAAGCGAAGATTGAAGCCAAAAACCAAAAAGATGTAAGCGCCCAAAAAACCAAGAAAAAATTGGAATTCAGTTCAGAAAAATCCTTCAAAATTTCTAACTTGCTCATGCATTGTCATTTCGTATAAGACATTTCTCTATGCAGTTGCTGTATTTTTCTCTCAGCTAGAAATTGAGAAACCGAAGTTTTTCACGTTTTTTCCAAAACAATGCTGAGATGTTCTAGCACTGACAGTTGTATACTATAGGGCCTTAGAAGCGTAAGTGTGAAGTTTCAGCTTTTTAAAGCAGGTGGTTTACGGGAAATATCGAATTTTTGGCAACTATTCAAGAAAAATTCGAATGAAGAGAGCTAGATTCGTCATTTCTCGTGAATGAACTAGCTGTTCTAGAAAGCTGAAAATGTAAAGTTTCACTGATAATGGCATGTACTAACAACTGTTAGTGCTAGAACATCCTCAGCACTTTTGGCAAAAACATGAAAAACTTCGTTTTTTCATCGTCTAGCTGAGAAAAAAATACAGAAACCGCATAGATAGATGTCTTACGTGCTATGAGCAAGAAAGAAATTTTGTAGAAGCTTTTTGAACGAAGTTGCAGTTTTTTTAATATTGGTCTTAAGATTTTTGGACGCATGGTTTTTTCACTTTTCGACTCAAAACTTCCCGTGGATCAAAGCTGGTATAGATATTCGAGCACTACCTTGTAGAGCTAGGTTTGCGCTATCTAATGATATATCGAATCCTACTTGGGATAAAGATTATTGCGAGTTATTGCGGTCTGTACCTATTTTGGTGCAGGAATTATGCATCAACCTAATAGTACAAGAGTTACTCGACGTGCTTCTTAGTAAAAGATTGATGATTCAACAACAAGATTTATAATCTAACAACCTTTTTTTTGTTTGAATTTGATGTCGTTACCACCTGCGCTGCGTAAATGGCTCTATTCGATTTTGTACGTCTTTTTGTCTTCGAAGCTACACCACACATGACTAAATGAGCTCTCGTTCGGTTCATTTGTCCAGACATTAGCCCGATTCGAGATCCTTTCAAAACTCAAGTTGCTATAGCGCCTGGTAGCTGCCGATTGAATAAATATTGATATGGGCACCAGAGGGTAGCATTACATTAGCGGAAGTTGGTGAAGTGTCGAGCGTAATGGCTGTGAGACGGGATTGAAACATCCATTCGAGCGTCTTGGAAATCAGATAGGATCTTATTTATTAGGCTGGCTGAAAAATAAATAATTTTCTTATGCAAATCTCCACAAAAACTTTCCTGTGAGAAAGTAGCTCAGAGCTTTTACTATCATATATCGACTCCTCAAAATTTTATACCACAAGTAAAGGACAGTTATGCCGTTTAATTCTCCAAAAGCTAAGTTTTTTGATTTATAAGCTTTATTTCATTGCTGTAATGGGTGCACAGTTGAGTAGCTTGATATACTATAATACATCCGAGTTTCTGCCGGCGAATAATAGTAAAATGTTTGATTTGCCCTTTTAAAATTTTCCGATGGAATGGAAATTTAAAGAACGTTAATTTATGTGATCTGCCTTTTTGAGATTCTTTTGTGGAAAAAAGGAAATTTTTTCGCTTGTGTGCACAATTTATTTTATTTATTACTATTATTTACTATTTTTATTTATTATTTGTTATCCATTTATTTTATTTCGCACAAGGCGTGCCACATTAGAAATAAAACAAAAATACTCAGAACCTGAACAGTAACAAACAAACAACAACAAAAAAAACATCCCCTAACAGCTCAAGTCTAGCTCTCAGATGTGTTAGGAATAGAAGGGGAGTAAGCTTGTTTGGACGTATGAATATATAATTAAAAAAAATGGGGTTTCCCATTTTTTGTGCCTTTCCAATCAAAGAGTGTTGACGTTCAAATTCCTAATGAAGTACTCTTTCCAGATATGTTGAATACTGGGCAAAAATTGTCTGCAGCATTTGTAGGAGCCGGAAAAGCCGAACTTATAATTAGACAAGCTAATAGAAGGTTTTCTATGCAAAAAGTCCTTTGTAGGAGAAGAAGATAGGTCGAATGCATAACTAAAATTAATGGGGCACATCGGCGCCGATGACTTATGGTACGCTAGGAAAAGCGATTGTTATGCCTGAAACCAACAACACTTGTTCTCGTCGCCACATCGACCGGTCTCTTCAGCCTACCACGATTTCGCATCCTCATTCACACGCCTATCATTGTTGGCTATCTTTCATCAGTGCTTCATTATCATTCATCTCCTTCCTCGGGCTTGTTCCCCGGGCTTGGTTTACATTAATAATCGTGGTTATGTAAGCTGGAACGCGCGTTGCGTAATCCTTACTGTGCATCTCCGCCGGAACACCACTTCTCTCGATCGTGGATATAATTCGTGTCATAGCAGATCGCATACGCAATCAAAGCTCAGATAAATATCTGTGTAGCATATGTTTGTTGACCTCTTTTAGCATAACGCTTGTTCACCTACTCCTTAATCTCTGGAAAACTTTAGCACTTCCAGATTATGTGCTGTTTCCACTAACATATTCAAAGTTTTTAAGTTGTCTCATAATTCTTCTCTGATATTACAAACATTTTCTTGATTTTCTTCCTTTATCTGTTGCGGCTTGGGTTAACATTCAACAGAGCAAAGCAAGTCTACAAGATGGCTACCAAGCTCCCATCTAATATCTTTTCCACGTAAAGTAGAAAGTTGAACTTCGACAGAAGACTGTGACAGAAGCTGAAAACAAGGTTTAGTGTCAAAAACAATATCCGCGTCGTTAAACATCCTAGAAATCCCCCAGTTACCTCAAGAATATACCTTACACGTTAGCCATCCAACCACCCACTTCCCGTGTTATCCCGAAGTTGGAACTAAAGAAAAAGTGCTCGAAATGAACCGACAAACTCCACTTTTGGGTCCTTCTTACAGACGTAGTCATATAGCACATCCGTTCAGAAGTACGATCCTAAATTTATGTACTTGTAGGTGTCATAGCCCGAGGAAAAACTAATTTTGGGGTTGAATTGATTAAAAAAAAGTTGTAGACAATCTACTACCTCATAATCTCCACTCCTTTCGTCCACTTCTCTATTAGCAGTTCAGTTCCTCACCAATTCTTGGTCGTGTCATATTTATTCACGCAAACTTGGAAAAAGCTGTTCGGGAAGTCTTCGCTTCCTGTTTATTGATAGTAACAAACCTTGCAAATATGTGGACCTACCGTAAATTACTGCTGGTTTTTCAAAGACGTAGCTTATTTTGATTGAACTTGGCTGCTTCTGTGACTGTAAAGAATCAAAAAGTGCGCATTCATATGTTATTTACAACTAGCTGGCTTGCCCGGCTCCGCCGGGCCTGCCAGCTAGACCCGTGTACGTATGTTCCGAATAGAAATTTTTATCTCTGAACCGATTGGGACCGAACTTTGCACACATACACTTCGGGGCAGGGAGCGTGTCACAGCCCACTTTTCGTTATCGATCGATGTCGATTTTACCGATTTTTTGCAAAATTTGAGCTAGGGGGCTAGGATTTTGCACAGGGGGGTAATCGAGCATGCTGATCACCCCTTCGGGGTGATCAGCATGCTCGATTACCCCCCTCTGCCAAATCCCAGCCCTCTAGCTCGAATTTTGCAAAAAATCAATAAAATCGATATCGATCGATAACGAAAAGTAGCCTATGACACGCTCCCTGCCCTGAAGTATATGTGTGCCAAGTTTGGTCCCGATCGGTTCAGAAATAAAAATTTGTATTCGGAACATACGTACATACATACAGACAGACAGACATACAGACAGACATACAGACAGACAGACAAACAGACATTCAGCTTTATATATAAGATAGGCAGGAATTTTGTTTTGAATTCATTGAGAAAATTCTCTTCATTTTCTACAAATAAAACTATTATGTCGTTTCATAGGTTTGTAGAGTTTTTATTTTGGTACCCATTTGACCAAGCGATTGGTTTACGGGAACGTACTACACCATTCGAAAGAGCTAATCTTGCTGTACAAAAACTATTATTCGTTTTCAGATCAAACCTAAAGACCTTGTTTGACGACTTCTCGTAGCAAAGCTTTTTGAGAGCCAAAATTGGCGATTTCAGCACGTGTTACTTTCGATCCTTATACGTACATGTTATTTACAGTAGGAATCATAAATGGGAATCATAAGTGGGAATTTTTCACCTGAAATTGCTACAAGTGATGACAACTGTTTACGGGGCTGTGGTACATATAAAAGTAGTTTACTTATCTAGAGAGACACTATGGAAAGATAAAGCGCACTTTTATCATGTGTAGATTTTTGCGTTTGGTACAATCTAGAGGATTTCCTGCTCCAAACAATTTTGGGAAAGCGTAAAATGCTAGCCAGATCTTGTACTCATACCTCTACACTACTTAGAAGAACCTATCTATTCGTCAAGAACTGACAGGAGGACCAACACATCTGTGGCAGTAAAAGAAGCAACTACTGAGACCATGTTCATACGGTTTTTAGCACCGCCTATATATGAGGATAGCATTTTGCGAGATACGGACCAAAAACGAAAAGTGCAGTTGCCGAAACCGTCAATTTTTGCCTTTCAAATAACTTTGCTTTGAGAAGCCATAAAACAAGGGAATCTATGTTTGCTACGAAAACGAACAACAGTTTGGTAAAGCAAGATTAGTTCGAATGGTGCAGGTACTTTGCCGTAAACCAACCGCTTTATCGAAAAATGGCTACTGAAATAAAAGCTCTACGAACTTATGAAACGACCCAATATATTGAAATACGCAGCAACCACTACGTGTAGCTTAAAAATAGTCTGGTAGATATAGCTGTTCATCTAGTGTATGCTGACAACACTTGCGCGTGAAACGTTGTCATGGAAATGGCATTTTCAGGTTTTCGGCCGTGTGCTATTTGGTGACAAAAAATGCTGTCATTGAGCAATAGCATTATCAACTTTGATTCTATCAGACTGTAAGAGTACGCTCTCATTTTTCCACATTAGTGCATATAGTGTGCAATTACACACATTTCCGTTCCATCTGCGCGAACTATAGACAGAATGAAAGTAGTCTTGTCAGGCATCCGTACGTAGCTCGCGCGCTTTGCATTTGCACTTTTTTCTCTCCAATTTTGCAGCAGCATCACTACGAAGCAAAGAATAATCTCAGAAACTAGCTTCAGCATATATTGTCGCCTGACACGTTTTCGACAAAAGCATTTCATTGACGAAGCGAAATTCGTCGCAGCCGCTCTCTCACCGGTCGCGGTGCGATAGCAAATATCAGTGGCGGCTTCGTTTCAGGCTCATCTGGGTGCGCGATTCGCGATTCGGAATGATGCGATTGCATGTTTGCTAACAGAGTCACAATCGTTGTGAAGGATCAGCGAAATGGAGGATTCGCGAAGTATCGGAATGCCGTGCGTTCTGAGTTCACGGCTACTTTAGCACATGCGCTCTTTTCATCAGTCGTCCGCATCGATTCCGATTTTATTCAACCGCGACGATCTCCTCTTGCCTCCTTCCGTGAAAATCTCTCCGCGTTTCCGCACTATCGACATGTTAACACACAAGTTTATTCATCTTTTACTTCCGCCAGGTATGGAGAAGGACCGGGAAGAAGCTCAACTACAGGCTGAAGCCGACCGAGTGAAATCCCTTGCGATAGCAGGTTTGCCATTTTGATCTACCTAAACTACTAAGTTGGAACATAAGTCTTGCACCAAGTCTTGGTTTTTCTTTGAATTCCGCAATCTCTCCAGGTCCAATAAATCGGTTGAAATTAACCTAATTTAAAAAAACTCACTACCTAAGTTACTACTTACCTCACTTTTTCTATCCTCAAAGCAAGAATCATCATCTTAGATTGCTGCAACAGAACCTGTTCAAGGCAAGCGCTCAAAATGCGTTTTTCTGACTTTTGATCCCCCAAAACTTTCTAATTTTACTTCTTACTTGGCTCTATAATCTACGCACTAACTAACATAAATTTGTGCTAATAGGACGTCTCTCCGAGAAGCTGAGTTTGGAATTTTAATTTCTAGTTTTGATATTGTTTCGAAAAGATTTTTAATGTGTATGATAAAACACTGCATACAATGAAAAAGATACTACGTAGTTGCTTCTAACATTATCAAATAAAATTTCCAAAATTTTTATTGCAAGACTTAAGTTCCAATCCATTAGAAAATTATTCAAAATCTTTAGGAGTCGCGATGTCGGTTGTGGCTGCATTTGTTTGTATTCTATCTGTTCCACTGATTTACAACTATGTCCAACATGTTCAAACACTTCTTCAAAACGAGGTCGATTATTGCAAAGTAAGAACAATTCATTTAGTTTCTCAATAGTCCTCTATGCATGGATAACTGGACCATTGCCAGAACAAAAGCATATTATGTCACGATAAGAGAAATGATATGTCGTGAAGCTTAAAACTGGCTCATTATGCGGGATTATGCAAGAACCAGCAGATAAAGAAGAGCGTTGACAGATCGCAGCTAGAACAATGATTTGCTGTGATCTGTTACTGCTATGCGAGAAAGAATCTTTGATCAGCAAGGTATCAGAAATTTATGATATACAACAAGATGACCCATGCCACCCTTTGAGGGGGTTAGTTAACTCAAACTCAAACTCTTGGAAAATCAGTAGCTTTTAATAACTCAAACTTTTGCGCAAGATTCTAACTCAGTGGCTCTTTCTCGAATAGTTTCATGTTAACGACTTTCACTATTTGGCCCAAATAGAAATCGGTCGTGAATGTCTGTCTGCATCATGGCGATCGCTGCTGATCGGAGGTCATTTCTTGATAGTGCAATACCTAAGTTTTTGTTTCTTGTTCTATCTTCAAAACAAGGCCTCATTACTATTCTCATATTCTTCATTTTACCCAAACAAGGTTTTATACATTAAAAATAGCATTCTGCATAAATGATCAAAATGACTATACACGCGTATGACATAACTTTCTGCGTTTTTTTTCTCCTCAATTCAAATACAGATGCACATTATATCACAAAATCCTGTTATGAAACTAACCCCTCCAATGGTGACAGTGCCAATGTTTTCAACCACTCGCCGGCCATTGGTTGCTTACTCCACCACAATGGTTAGAGCAGGCCGCTCGAGCCACACCCATTTGGCAATAAATATTTCCATAAAATAGTACAGAAAAATTCATTTTTCAGTTTTTCTTCCAACCGTCTAAAAGGGGAGAGCGTTGTATTTGGATTTATAAAACTTAAATAACTTCGGCCATTTTTGACGTATAGCTTGCAAATTACTATATTTTGGTAATATTAAGAAACAAGAAGCAGAACCTACATTTTGCTCATAAGGATGATTTTCGAGAATATGGCATAAAAGCCACATAATCCGGTTTTTTCACATGGGAAGGTTAGCTAATAGTGTGTGACAGAGGCTGCACGTCAGGAGGTACGCCGCGCGCGGCGGCCGCCTCGCCGCGCACGCCGCGTCCCGATCTTGGGACCCATAGAGCTCCCCATATCAGAGACTCCCGGCGGCAAAAACACGGGGGTGGGGGGAGAGGCAGATACATGACTCAATGCAATAAGTAACATTGCGCCTGCAGTGCTGCTATTGTATTGGTTGAATTACGTTGCGGCGTCGCTTCGCGAAAAATTCGCGCCGATCGTACCTCCTGACCGTCCCCCTGTGACAGACAGAATTTGTGCCTAACATCTAGCAAATTTGAAGATGTGAATGTTCTTGTGGCGCCGACAACGAGAACAGAATTTTGGATGAAAGTGTTATGTTTTAATGCCAGCCATCTACCAACATTTACCTGTTTACCCAATAACATTCGAGTGAAAAATCACTTTTAAACGTACATTTCCAATTTTTGCATCCCATCACCATTTTTACGCTCAAATATTGTCAGCAAACGATTAGTAACTACGCGATTAGAATGCGCCAGATAGGTGATAGTTACAGTTCTATGATACTACTTTAGCGAGGAAGTGATCTGGAGCTCCTCATATATTCATTTTGCGTGCGAATGTCCAACCCCCCCCCCCCCGCCCCCAGTTGAGACAAACGACAATCTCGAACTAAAATAGGAAAAAGCTTTTCTTTGTGTAGCTAAAACTTCTATGCGTCCAAATACAACTTGTTACCCCTTATGTCTCCCTGACACACCACGAAAATGAAACTTGGAACTCCAGAAAGATGATTTTGAAATATCACCACCTTAACGATAGTTGGTTGCGTCTTCCTGTCAATTTAGAGTTAAACGGCTGGTATTAGTTGCAGATTTTTAGTGTGCCACCTTGAAAAAACTGGTTGACTGCAGTCAGGGTTTTATTTATTGGAAGGAAACTAGTCACCTTAAGGCCCGTATGCACGCACATCCCCGTGGGGAGGGGAGGGGATCTGAGAGGGGAAGTGTTATATCTCGCTAGTCTATATACCTTTCTTCTTCTTTCTCTGTCTTACTTTTGAAGGCTCTCATACACTGATAATTGCGCTTAATGGATGCCAGGTTACTGCCATACAAGATTAGATATTCATTATTTCGTCTGATCCCCTGGGGATCCCCAGGAGATCAGAAGAAATAGTGAATATCTAATCTTATATGGCAGTAACCTGGCATCCGTTATGCGCAGATATCAGTGTTTAAGGAACTTCATAAGCAGGATAGAGAAAGAAGGAGAAAGATATGTAGACTAGCGAGATATGACGCTTCCCCTCTCAGATCCCCTCAGCTCCCCGCGGGGATGTAGGTGCATACGGGCCTAAATTAATTATTGCATTTCATTTCTGCATCTCGAGGCAACTGAGTTTTATAAAATTGAGAAAGCATTGCAAAAACAACTCTGGGTGTTTTTGTCCCAGCAAATATCTACTGATGATTTGGGTTCAAGGTCACCCATTCTAAATGAACTCTATCAACTACATTGATCGTTATGACTGAGTAACAAGAATCTTGATAGAACCAGTTTTATTTTGTTAGAAGCATGCACAAGAGTAAGGTAGCAGAATACATAGAAATTCAAAAAAATGATTATTCATCAAAAGAGAGTTACATTTTCGAAAACTTTTAGACAACAAGAATCGGGTTTCATGCAGTTTTTTGAAGCATCCTACAGCTGCTTTTCTTGCACGCACACCAGCAGACTGCTTTGGATTTCAGAATAAGAATTTTTATTCAACTAAATATATTGACAAATTCTCGAAACAACTGCATATAAAATCATACACTACAGCGAGATGTATTTGCTTCAGTTTGATCGAAGAAACTTAATAAAAATGCTCAAAATTGCTTGTTTCAGTCCCGGTCCGGATCATTGTGGCAACAAGTGACAAAAGTTCAACGAAATCATGTTTCCAAGAAAAGGGTGCCCAGAGATCAATATGGCGGCTATTCAGCAAGCTATGGTAGCTACAAAGCACTGCCACGAGAATTTTTAGATACACAAGAAGTGCACGGCGCTGGATCGCAAACACAGGATAACAATATGCTATGTTAGTTTTGAGCACTTAACGGTGTCCATATGCTTGGTCCAGAGTTGCACGTGCCAGCTCCGTGTTAACGCCGTGCCGAAACGTCGATCGGCCGGTAACGGAGCACGAGCATGCACCTGGCTTCCTGCACGACGCTAGCACACTGTCTCTTGCACACTTCAGATAAAGGCCACACTGGATGCAATCTTAACTATCGCCTGTAGTTTAACGATGTGCGCGCATTCTATCGTTCGTTTAGCGTGCCGCGTCGGAACTGGAACCGAAGCGGCACGGCAAACTCGACGCTAGATTGAGTGCATACCGGACTGCAGGCGCCAGAAGTACGAACGCACCTGTTTTTATATTTTTGCACAGAAAAATCTCCGTCGCTGTCTACCAATTGCAAATGTTGAATATAGGCTGTGGTTGTGGCATTGGTGCACCTGGAGAGCCAGGGCCTAATGGAAAAGATGGACGAGATGGTGTTGATGGTGCGCCTGGTGAAAATGGCCGAGATGGCAACGATGCTCCGGATAGAGCTTTTCAAGGACAAGAGTTCTGCTTTGAATGTCCACCCGGACCTCCTGGCCCAGAAGGTGAACCTGGACCAAAGGGTTCGCCTGGACTACCAGGAAACCCGGGCACTGACGCTGATGGAGGAACGCGAGGCCCTCCAGGACCACCAGGACCACCTGGAGAACCGGTAAGTAGCTGACAAATGACATGACCTACTGATGAGTCAAAATTCGAACTTAGGGACCACCTGGGCCACCGGGACCTCAGGGAGAAGGCGGACCAGATGGAATAGTCATCGAGAAAGAAGGACCACCCGGAGAACCTGGAATCCCAGGTATGCTCAACACGATTTTCCCATACGCTCCTTCTTTTTTGAAAAATTCCAATAATGTCTTGCAGGACCCCCAGGTCCACCAGGACCGCCTGGAGCCGAGGGAACTCCTGGTTCGCCCGGCATTCCTGGTAATTTCTTTCAGTTACCATGTTTTGTAGAAATAATTTTGAAATCTACCTTAGGACCTCCTGGCCCCCCGGGTGACGACGGCCTTCCTGGTGTACCTGGCCGACCAGGGCCGCCAGGACCAAAGGGTGCACCGGGCAAACGTGGACAAGCTGGACCGTGCTCTCATTGTCCGCCACCTCGTACCGCTCCAGGATACTAATTTATATGTATATAAGTATTTTTTCTACTTCCTTCTACTCTCTTCCTCGCCATTTCATCTCATAGAAACATTCCCGTCACAAATGAATGCTCAGAGTTGTGTTGTTCCAACTCAGAATTGCCAAATTTCGCTGCAATCCTTCCGAATGATTCCGACACTTGTCACTTATTGTGCTCACATGTATGTATACAAATGCCCTTACTGGATTAAGCAATACTAACATTAATTATCTGTACATCTTGTATCATCCTTTTTTCTTGAGTCTGTTTGTAGATAGAAATTCGTGCTAATATTTCTTAATCGTTTATACGCTAGTAAACATTGCATATCTGTTCCCTACTTGATCAAACTCGAAAATAATCAAAAGAGAAAGTCGCCACTCTGAAAAAGTGAGATTTGGCAAAGTCAAGTGCCAATCTCCATGCAGGCCTTTTTATACCGTTGGCAACGCGAACCTTGGTGGATGACTTAGGCCACTTGGCTAACGAGCAGCATCATGGTTTTGAGCGCGTAACGTATCAGTGCTGACACCATTGTGTTCAACATGTAAAGAGTATGTGCACGCACAACTCGTTCACATTTCTGCGTTTGCTCCACCCTGCTCAAAAGCTACCAATCGCAGCCGACATACTGACCAATCAGGGGCACGCTGCTATGGCAAAAGCTTCGAAGAAAAACGTTTTTCCACCCTTTTTTTCGTCTTTTTTGCACCATTCATGGAAAAGGGGAGAAACTTTGCGGAAGGCGAGGTTCCTGACCATGACCATTTCTCATATCTTCTCTGTAGCCTTCGTAACGATAATATTAATTTCCTTGGTACTTTCCTGGAGTTTCTGTTACACGACTCGCTGCTCCTAATGTACAACGAATGAAATCATCATATCGTCGATAAAGAAGTTCTTAAGGATGATTTTGACTGTGCTGGCGAGTTAAATCATGTGTAACATCTCCATAAAATCTGCTCTGATGTCTTGTAATCACAACACGAACGATAAAATTTGCTTTAATAAAGCTGGAAGACAATATACCAGTAACCTGACTTCAATCAAATTTCATATACAAACATTTGACAGGAAATATACAAAGATGATGTGTGGAAAGATTTGAGATGAACTGAAAACGCAACACTGAAAGTCGACTAGAACCCCCATGGAACAAGAGCATGAGATACTCGAAAACGCGCGATAAAACTGATAAATCGTAGATAAGAAGCAGCATCGAGAGAAATTTTGAAAGATAAAATTATGTTAAAATCATCATCACATATGCATAAGTTATAGGAATCACGAATCGATGTATTAGAAGAAAGAAAAGTGGTCTATGCTGTGTTTTGTTATAACGATTGAAAGATAAGACACATCATTTTAGAATATACACAGAGAGTGTTGAGAATGAAACTCAATAGAAATTGTACCTGCTTACTCCAATCATCACGGAGTGAACTAGAATGATAATAAATAGTGGAAAGATTACACGTTGAAAGAGCTGGAAGATGTAACGCTGTCAGCTGGGCGTCTTTTGAGGGATGTCAGAAGATACACTTGGATGCAGATAGACATCACGTAATATTGCACCCACTCGAGCTGTTTCGTCAAGCTGCGTATTGTACTGCTCGACGAGATTCTTTATGAGTTGCTGAGCTTCCGACAAGCGGGCCTCCAGTATGACTTTCTCACTTTCCAACTTCTCAATAAGTGCGGTAGCTTCAGCCGCTCGAAATGGTGCTCTGAAATCACGAAACAGTCTAATGTATTCAAGTTAGTACTAGAAGAATATTTGCACAATGTGTACTGATCCAATCTATAACTGCCCAAAAACAGTTGATTCGAAAAACTCTGCGATGGATAGAAAAAGATGATGCGCGAAAGAAGCCACTACTTCCATGATAGTCCCAGAAAAATGAGGTAATTTGTGTAAGCAAAAAGCATTCAAAAAGTCCCATCAATACTATCAAACTGTCTATATGCTATGTTCTTGTTATACAAAAAGGTGTGCAGTACCTGCATTACGGATTTTCACTATGTTGACCGCATCGTAGTATCAAAAAATCCGCAAAATTTGTCGTTCACCAGATTCGGTCACTCTTGATAGGAGCTCCCTTGAATCCCGTGATTCCTTTTGAGGCAATAACCTAAACAAGTGATTCTGTCATGTGCGGTACTGCACTAGTTGTAATTTGACTGCTACTCCTCCTCCCCTCCCCCCCCCCCCTTGCTTCTGTTGAACTACATTACTTATGGAATCGCTTTTGCAAACAAAGAACTCAGATACGGTTTGTTTTGCCGAGAGCGAAAGTCACGAGTGAGACAAAGGGAGCCGTTTTTGAGCTATCAATAAAATCTAGTCTCCTCTGTACAAACGAAAAAGTACTTTTTGGCTATATTTGATTAATTTCAGCAGCAATTTGATGTACAAACTCGTTTATAACAGATACTATGGAAATTCTCCTATGACGGATATGTAATCGCATGCATTCTCAGAGTTGATGGCCAAATTGCAACAAAAAGCAACCAAGGATCGTAAATGACAAAACAAAGTATAATCTAGGTCCTCGCTCACCAAATAAAAAGCCAAAATTGAGAAAGTAATGGAAAGAAACCAAACCATTGACTAACCGTCTCAAATCTCCGCCGCTGCCCTCACTTCCACCAAGGCTGCATTTATAGCGAGACGATGGCATCGATAAAAGCATACGCAGTTCTGACAGCTTCTCCTTCGTTGCATCCAGACGACCCTTTAGTTTCCTTACTTCCCGTTTCAGAGCGATTTTATCCTACAATTAAGAACATTAAGAGCAGTTTAAAATAGACTTCAGACGACTTACGTCAGCTAGACTTCCTGCGCTTGAGCCAAGATCTTCGATTCCACTCTCTGCTAAGGTATGATCACCGATCACAGTATGGTAGATTTCACGCAACCTCATTTCAGCCAACTCACACTTCTCGCAACGACCGACCATGTTCGAGAAGGACTGAATCGCACAATCACTCTAGTTTCATGCTAGTTCACATGCATGCTAGCATAGCTTGCACCAATTCCCGAAACGAAAACTTCGACGAATAGGGAAAATGGCAAAATAGACAACACGAAAGCATCGGCTAAAAAGGACCACGATGTGCGACAACTCACAAAAATTATTCGCTAGTGATGGCCGAATTCAACTAAACAAACATCTTGTGCTAGCTACATAGTTGCAGCGCCAAACAGACTGGTTAACCCAAAGACACCCTCCGAAAAGAAGAGCAAAATCAAGTTGAAGAATTTCTTACCCGCTGGAACGGATGAGTAGCAGGTTGACTGCGCTTTTCAACGCTCAAAGATGATCGCGAGGTAACATATGGTTCGATAGCATTCGATGGAGATGGTCCGGCGTTTCTAAATATATTGTTTTGAGAAAGTGCACCTCATTTTCCGCAATCGCATCTTCACGACAAGATGAAACCCGTGAGAAAATAACCGATCAAAACTGACTTATACTTTTCTACGAGGGAGAAGAAGTTTGGTGTACTGCTCTCGGAGAGGTAAACGTTATTATGGGAACGAAGTGAATTTTTGAATCGCTCTCGAAGCTCAGCCAATCGTCGCTCATAGCTCTTCTTCTGATTTTCGAGAGAAGATTCGAGAGTCTAGAAAAAGTGATGGATTGGAAAAAAATTGAATTCAAAAATTGACAACCTTGATCTGACGCTTGTAATGCTCAGCGGCAGTTCCGTTCTCTGGACGGTTGACAATGGATGATATCCGTTGCAATTCAGCATCAAAATCTTCCTGAGAATGGGTTATGATTACAAAACATCATAAGGGATAAGAGACAAGTGAATTTCCTTACATATGCGAATTCGCAACAAATAAAAAGGAGAAAATATTCTTGAAGCTTAACCTGCAACCGATTCATCAGCTTCATCTTCTCTTCGGCGAAATTCTTCTCCAGTTGATTTTTCTCACTGACCAATCGCACTTCCCATTGTCGTCGCTCTCGTTCTAGCCTTAAACAATAGATTGTTTAACAGCACGTGATGGTCAATAAAGTCAATGAGATGTTGCACAACGTACTGCAGATTTAACTGCTTCTGCTGATCATTCAAAGCTTCGGCCAACGTTTTCGCTGCTGTTTGACGTACGGCAATCAACTCTTGTTTATGATCATTTCTTAGACGATTCAGTTCACTTCCAAGACGTCCACTGTCTGCACCCCCTGCTTTCGAAGACTCCGTTTCATCTGTAAAAGAAATCCTAGTGTCACAATCTCCGAGATGACAGTGCATGAATGAAGCTTACCTGAATCCTGCACAAGTATCCGAGAAGCAATTCTCTCATATCTCAATTTTCTCTCCTTTCTCTTCAAGAGTTTTCGCCGTCTATGCCGCACAAAAATGGATTCCGGCTCGCTTTCCATTTCAGAGAGGGTGTCTCCCTTGGCTAACCTTCGCTTTCTGATCAACATGACCTCAAAGAAAGTACTCGAAGGTCTATCGCATAATTCCAGAAGATACACATGTTTCGCAAAAAAAATACCTGGCTTCGGAATGCGCCACTCCACTTCAACGAGAAGGGTTCACCATCGTTGGCCTTCGACTTTTTCTTCTGTGATGCAGTAAGATCTTGTATTCTTTCCCGCAACCGCTGAAAAACAAACATGCAAAACAGTTTTTTATGGAGTGATTAATAACGTACCTTGTTGTGAGCAACAACAATTTCCAGTTTCTGTTTGTACATAATCAACTGGGTATTGTCCTCTACGGGGCGAGGTTGCATGGCCTTCAAAAGCATAGATGGATCCCACAAATTCTCCGTAATGTTGTGACAATAAAAGGTACCTTGCTCAGCTCGGTGCGAAGCTGCCTATTGAGTTGCTCCAGATGACTTATAGCTTCCGACTGCTCTCGATTTTCCTCCAACAGTCGAGTGTTCTGACGTTCCAGCAACATAGCTTTATTTTTGGTGGATGTCTCAACCTGTCGCAATCGCGACAATTCTTCCTCTAGCTGTAAATCTCATATAAAGATCAGCGACCAAAGCTCAAATGCGCTATGCGACTTACCTGTTCAACCTCATTCTGAATCTCACGCTTATCGAGGCGGAATTTGTCCTCCATCTGAAGATAGCGAGCACGATATCGTTCTTCAGTCTCCCTAAAAAAATGGTATTATCAACATGACGTGTACTTATTGAACAGTGCAGAATGCAAGACCATACCTAAGTCTAGCTTCGTAGCCCTGCTCTATGCTTATTTGATTATGCTCTAATTCCTCAATCAAAAGCGTTCTTCTCTGATTTGCTAGCTGCAGTTGTTTATGGAGATGCTCTGCTCTGGACTCTCCTTCTCGAACCATACATCTGAAGAACAGTTTGAATAATGCAAAAAAAGAGAAAAGCATATTGAATTTTCAAAGCGGAACTCATATGACGATAAAATTGAGTAATGTAATGAAAATGTTCTTCTTGCAAATCATTTTTTGGCTATGTTCGCGTGCATACCTCAGATTATCGATGCAACAGTGCAGGGCTATTATAGCTGCCTTTACTGAAACGGGCGCCTCAGAAGTGGATCTTGACAATTCCCGCTCCAAGAAACCAGATAGGTATACGGCATTGATATTGCCACTCATTGGCTGTCCTGACTCCTGAATATGGTTGAGCAGATGAACAAATCATGAAGAACCTTTGCGATCAATCGAAAGGAAACGTTTTGGCCAGTGGCGGCTTGTACACACGGCTGAACCAGACACTTTTATCCTGAAGTTCGAAAAAGTGGAACCGCGACAGGTCGAACAGCAGTTGATAGACGGGTTAGCTTTGCCAGATATGCCGCACAATATTTTACAACAAGATAAAACTTTTACGACTTTGTAAAAACTCGGCTAAAATCACCAACCTTGAAAACCACGCTGAAGGATAGCATTTCAAAACAAAAAATATCTCTATCAATTCGCTTCTACAGAACATTTATCCTCATACAGGGTTTGAGCAATAGATTACCTACGCATCATTTGGAACGACCCAATCCTGTGATTTCAGAGGTCATACGTTTGCTAGCATACGCACGGCTATGTTAGTGGGCAAAGTCGAATATTTCCATTCTCTAACGCTGTTCAGAAGAAGTGCAATTCGCTTCCGAGAGATTCGAATCGTAACGTATTTCCTTCTCACAACTGATGCACAACACCACAATCACGATACACACAAATTGGGCTATAAAACATCGCGATCGCCGATCCACACAAAACTTTTCGGAACGACCTCGGTGGCCTTCAGTTCCAGACGCGTGCCAACATTTCATTGCATTTCGACATTCTACTTGTCTTATCGCAAGAAATTACCTTCAGAACAGCGATGCCCTCATCTATCCGAAGTCCAGCCTTGTTCCAGTACTCCAGCAAATCGTGAGAATCAATAGTACTAAAAATTATAAGGTAAAGATAGGCATGTAAAACGTCTGTGTAAAGATTACTCGCTGCAACTCACCCCGAATTAGTCGAGTCAAGAGCTTCGAAGAGATTGAGCGAAGAAACGAACGAATCAGCAATAAAGTGGACCTGCAACATGCTCCCTAGCTTATCCCATTCGAACAATCAATGAAAAGTAGCAAAACGCAAAATAAACCTCAGCACTGAGTCGCTTCTGAAGTCGATATTGCGCAAGAAATTGCTGTACAGATACCCGTCCAGTCCGTTCTACGTCTGCCCGCTCGAAAAGGCCATTTATGTCGACGACGGACAGTTGAACAAGGTCTGTGGTGTTTTCGCATAGCAAACGCGTTTCGTACCGGGTCAGCCTAGAAGCATTATCCGTGCAGAGCAAGGCTTAGTGATAGTTTAAAAACGAAAACGTCCAGCGGAGTAATTATGAAACACTAATCGCAGTCGCGAAATTGTACATTTGCGGCAGTGAGTACATTGAAGCGAGATGTGGCGTGTACAAAAGCGCAACCTAAGCTTAACCTATCTGTTATCTCAGCGGTAAAAAGTCCTCGAGCTAAGCGCAAACATAGTCTATGAGAAAACTATTCCTTGAGCTATCCTGGCACAATTGTCTTACTAAAGGCGCTCAGTTCAAACATTTGTTAAATTTTGACTGCTGCACAAAATAGACAAAGATATCAAACTGAACGAAAGTCAAACACAAAAAACAAATGATGTCAGTATTGCAAACTTTAAAGAAATAAATGGGATCCATAAAGTTTCCGTAAATCCAACAATTTCACTGCGACAACCAGAGAACCTATCTGAGGAATCGAAAGTGTTATCTAGACGAAATTGAATAACGCTTTTTGGAATGTGCTATCAGTGAGTGTATGTATCATCACAAAACACACAGTTCTCTCTGGCTTCAAAACCAACTCTCATTTGTATAATCCGATCAGTTGCGCATATGCAAATTTCTAATTCTACAAAACCAACGCTACAACAAAGTTCGCCTGTTGCAGCGTCATACAACTGCCAAATATGTTTGCCAAAAAATACTCAAAGCAGCATGCTAGCATACCAAGAATTGATCAAAATAAGGGAACCAATATAACAAGCACAAACCTTTGCCCATCCCCGTATCCTAATGTTCTCGCTGTATCCTGTGCACGTGCCAGTAAAGGGTCAACTGTACCCGATGATACGTCGATTATTTCTGGCAAGTAAGAAACAAATCGTTCTTTGAAATCCTAAAGCACTCACTATATAATTGAAACTGTGTGGGAAGCGAATATAAGAAAGGTAAAGCGCTTACATAAAAATCTACAGTATCTGCTCCACACAATACTCGTTCGGTAATGCTTTTCGCAAAAGCACTTAGCTTCAACTTTTCGCACAATAGAAAAAGCCCATCCGCATTGAGGCATTGATTCTCGTCTACATTGCTCGAAAGGAACAACTGAAAAAGGAAGTAACATTTTCGACGATCTATTATCGAAGCTTCATTTCTTCTTCTACTCTTCCTAGCCTGATGATTTTGCCAACTGTTGATGACATATCAAATTAGATCCTCAAACAAAGTGCATAGCCAGACCCGGTAGATAAAGTCAGGCACCCCATAATTTAACAGCCGTCACCGAAATAACCACTAGCGGAAAAAGTGAAACAAGGAAACCCGCTAGATTTTCCAAAATGCGCGACCAGCAATCATTTGAGTAAGTGTAACCACTATAAACTTATTACGTCCAATCTTTCACAGTAATTCACGGATCCATAACGATCGTTCGATCGGCACAACAGACCCACAACATTTACGCAAGACGAGTATGTTGTTTACACAACACGATGATGATAAGAGCACTGATGTATTTGTTCAATGCTGTTCGTATGGTAACAATGTACATTAGGCGAACTAGATGCATCAGTGCACTTGTGGTGTTCAATATTACGAATTAAGACTAGAAAAACGCGAAAACAATCTAATTTGTGGAAAAAAGAAGAAGAAGATAAAAAAAACTCACCCGTTTCAACTCCTGTACATGCGTGTTATCGTCATCTAGCGTCTGATTCACTGATGTCATATGTTAGTTAACAATATTCCGAGGCATGAGCCGGAGCTATAAAGATATGTATTACTTTCATGTATGCGTGCAAAACGCAAAAAGAAGTAGCGTGATGATCGAAAAAAAGGGTGAAAATGGAATAGACACAAAAATGAAATCGATCGGACAGGCTGCGATTTATCAAGCACAAAGCTCCACGTGAGGGAAAATTGTAAAGGGATAAAAACAAAATGAAGAAGAAGTCTAAACGTCACATCTACAAAGAAACATTGAACAATATGGATGCGAAATCTTTTGGCTGGGTTCCTGATGCAAGAAAATGAGGGAATTATAATGATGGGTGCCAGATCAGACAAAACGAATTCCCAGCACAGTAGTGTGCACCCCCACAAGGTCATAGCCAGCAATTCTGAAAGAAATATCGGTTGTAAAAAAACAAAATGCGCCAACATCAGCAACAAAACAGCAGATTGCTTCCGTCAGAGCCTAAAACTAGGCTGGAGTTAGAGGACGATGGAGTAACTGGTCGTACGCATTTACGATCTGCCGCAATCACATAAACCTGCGCAACCGTCGACCGAGAGATTTTTAGAAAGCTCAGTAGGGTCTGACTCATAGTCAAGTGGCCACAGATGACAATACAGTTTTGGCCTGAGGATTTCACCAAAGATTATTTTCTGAACACCAGATAGGAGGTTCCGTTCCAAAAAAAGTTTCATACAGTCTGCTTGAAAATTATCGATATTTGACAAATTTCAAACGGAAAGTGTGCTGAAAAGGCAAAGTCAAACATAAAGTGTCAGTCATGCAAGTAGCAATAAGAACACAATTACTTCAAGAAGCTTAGCGTTTCGATTAATACAGTCTAATCATCTAAAGTGCAGATTCACAGAATAAGACGATAATTCAGGCAGAGCACGCGATAAGCCCTCAGACTTTGAACTAGTCTTCATGCAGACTACGAATACTACATTTTTCTTTGGCACATGATCCCAATGAATCAAAGATGAAAACATCTTTTTTACTGAAGATAGTTATCTTCAAAAAATCGCGAATATAGCTGCAAGTGGTAAAGAAATAAACACCTACTGCCCATGAAAGCATCTCTGATTAGCATAAAGAAGCAAGAACAGATTAACTTCTACGTCAGCTTGTATGCGACAGAAATGTGCTAAATACAGAGAAGTACGACAAATCGGCGCAACATTGGTTGTGAGGTGTGCAATTGCAGAAACACGAGCTCAAGTGCTCATCCGGTCCCACGGATATGAGAATAAAAAGAATTGCAATTCCACGGATGAAAGTTTCGTAAAGCAGGGATGTGTCGTAAGCTGGAACTAGTTGCAGTTCGAGTACACGTCATGGCAGCTGGCATAAATGGGAATAACTGAACATAATGGGGGGGGGGGGTGGCATCTGGGAAATCGATAGAGAAAAAAACATAAGTAAATTTCGATGAATAAACACAGCAGAAGAAAGCAGACAATTGCAGGTGGAAACAGATCAGAAGCAAGAAGCAACAGAAGCAGTTATGTATGAAGAAAGGCCAACCATATTCTTGTCGAGTGGGAAACTTTAACAAGGGGGTTTTTTTGCTTGGATAATTCGATGCTTGAAGAACAAAAAGAAGCCTCCAAAGTCTTCAAGCAACGAGTTGTCGCCGATACGGACGCAAGTAGTGGAGGTTAATTCCATAGTCAACACACCGAGGTGAGGCCGACTAGTCGGCCGTGACGCGAAGGTCCAAGGGCCCGCACATCTTGTATTTCACAAGATCACACGAGCCGCGCGAACGGACCGGAAAACCGGAAACTTCCTAATTGCCTCCTCTCCACTACTACAAGGCCAGCTCTAGCTTTCTTAGCTAAATTCTCTGAGAATTTCACTTAAATGGTTTTTAACAGATTATGGTTTCGTAATTGTGTGTTCAACGCAATGAAAGTCAATTAAAGTCGAGTCATTTACATCAGATGTGTGTAACACACGCTAGGCGCGTTACCTCACGACATGTGTGCATGCAGTTTGCCCATCTCAACAGAATTTCTCCTTGTTTTTTCCTCTTTTTGAGTATATGTGTTGCTGTAAGGTGTAAATACTCACTTCTAAACTTTCTGTTTGCATGTCAAGTTGTCAAGCCGGTTTTACTAATTGCTTGTAACTGAGAAGACACGAATTATAACGCAGAATATGTAAACTCCAGATTAAATCACGAATGATCGACTGTATCCTTGAATAAATCATATAAAAGTGAAGGTAGAGAGGTTATAATGTAATTCGAAAGATCTGAATTTCAAGTTCAAGTGCCATCGAAATCTGATATACGATTATCTACACTTCTTTATCTCACCGTATCATTCAAGAGTCCTTCTACAACTAGCAAAAGTTCGGAGCACACTTTGAGAAGTTAAGACTTTGAATGGAAATAAATGAACAAAGCGCTTACCGAGGTGAAAGCCAAAGCCACACGTGACGAGACGAATTCTGTTTTCGGATTATGGTATCGCAAATCGATCAAAACGGAAGTGCACGGTCAATGATGAGGTCGAAAATGGAGACGGAGGGAAGCAAAAAACCTGTTAGAGTAAGGGGGAGGTGTGGAAGAAATGCAGGCGAAGTGTTACCTGCAGTCTGGAATAACATAACTACAGTATGCTAGCCCAAAAAAATGAGTTTACAGGTATTTCCATATTTTTTAGTGTATCGACACAAGCAATGAGCATAATTTGTGGTCTCCAAGAGTTTGGAGAATCTTAGCTAGACTTTCTGCACAATCTTTTTGACACCCTGGTCAATATCCATCTAGTACTGCTATGAAGCGAATACTGCAGAAAAAAAGATGGGCAGACCAGATAAAGGCTTCTGCACGACGAAGGCAGAAGCGCTATTAGTTGAGAGGGTGCGAACGCGGCGCGCGCGTATCTTCACCGCTGTAAATGCTGCGCTTCGTGCGCTCTGCGGCTAACGAAGCCCCGATCGAGTTCGAAGATATAGCGCCTTCATCATGCAGCAGTCTATATCTGTTTCAAAAAAAAAATGAAAGTAACCTTCTCATCATCTGAAGGATCAAGTTAAAATTTCAAGTGGTTGAGAGTAAGCAATTTTCAAGCACCACTGAGCAAATCAAACAATAAAAAGTTTTTGATTGCACTTGATGTATGGACTGAGGAAATTCAGGATGTTTATAATGTCAAAAGAGTTCGGCCCCTATCACCCCACGCCCACACTTGAGCTTTGAATGCTCTTTTGCAAGAAATTATTCACCACCTTCATGTCACAATAGCTATGATTGTGAATAGATTTGAACCCATTTTCGCTGCAATTTTGCATAAAAACATCACATAAAAAGAGAATATGCTGATCCTATTTCAATAGATTTAATTTCTATTCTGAATTTGAGTGGATCTGTCCCTGCGTATCCGATATCCAATGGAGTGTGAGACTCAAAAAAGCCATCGTTAAAAGCAATGGCGATGTTGCAAATTTCAGCATCGGGTTTCGAAAGCAAAACAAGTATTTCCAGTTTTGATTCAAAAGATTCAGAGGCTAGTAAACAAAAACAATATTAGTAAGCTGTATAAGTGGCTTCAGTGATTTTTATCTCTGTATTGAAAGCACCGTGCAAGAACTTACTAGGCTTTTATAACTCTTACAATCATTTACTGTATGTGGGGATTTCCGATAGATTTTGATTGAACAAAAACTAAGGTTCACTTCAAAAAATTTTTGTTCGTTAAGCGCGATGTGAAGAACGATGAGGTGAAAAACAACAGATATATCTAAACTTTTCTCGTAATTCAAAGATTTCGTTTAGAAAAAACAGTGACATAATCAACTCAAAATGTGCTTCCGGAATTGAAACTTTTGAACGTTCTCGTCATTTATCCCGAAGGAAAAACGCCTAAAAGTAGAAAATTGGTAATCTCAAGGAATGATTGGGAGAGTTTGAACTTCCAACATATTTTACAAGTTACAGTCGGTGTCAACGATGTGCTCCATAGCCGATCAGCTCAAGCGCAACGCTAGAACCCCGTGCTGCGTTCGCGGGCGCATCGCTGGAGCGTTCAAATCTGCCGCATCGATCGCAGATCGCTGCGCAATTCCACGCGCTGCGGATGCGTAAACACTACGGAGGGAACAGATATTGACATCGATTGTATACCAGTGCTTCTACCTCTCATTAAGTCAGTCGCAGAGCGAGTGGAATAAACTTCAGCATAAAAGTAAAGCAAGTTCAAGAACACTATATTAGGTTGAACCGAATATTCTGTCGCACCATATTCAAAAAATCATAACTTCTTTCACTCACGCCAATTTTGCACAATTCGAATTCATTCGGAAAACGTATAGCATGTAGTTTCTAAAAATCCCCTGGTGACTTTTCAACATGCTCGGTTGCAGAAATTGAGAGAACCAGATCATCCGAAATTCGGAATTTTTAAGCAAAAATTCTAACAATCTAGAAACTGTGCGATAAAATCCAGAACAGCTGTCATCCTAAATTTTCTTGTATTTTGTCACTAAGTGAGTCAAGTCTGTGCTAATCGAGCTCTTCTTTTAAAAGTCATGATTTTTTGAAAAAAAAATGCCGAAAAATCAATTTCCTAAGAATTACTGAGAAATTGATTTTTCGGCATTTTTTGAAAAAAATCATAACTTTTGAAAAAAGAGCTCGATCAGCACAAACCTGGCTCAATTAGCAATAGAATATAAGAAAACGTAGGATGATAGCTATTTTGGATTTTATCAAACAGTTTAGATTTTTAGAATTTTTGCTTAAAAATTCCGAATTTCGAATGATCTCGTTCTTTCATTTTTATCTCTGCTGAGCATGTTGGAAAGTCACCAGGGGACTTTTAGAAAGTACATGCTTTACGCTTTCCGACAGAATTTGAATTACGCAAAATCGGCGTGTGTGAAAGAAAGAAGTTGTTTTGAATATGGTGCAACAGAACTTTCGGTTCAACCTAATACATATACAGGTATTATTCTGGTATTTCTGAAATCTAAAACCCAACGCTTCCGAGAGAAAAAATACAAGAATGAATCAGAAAGCAAG